TATAAATAAAGCTTTGATTGATTGATTGATTGATTGGGTAAAACAAGGGATAAAGAGACCAATGAAAGTAGGGAAATAAAATCAACATAAAAGAGGGCCAAACTCAAACACGTTCAGGGAACGCCAAGCGGAAGAGGTGGGTTTTTAGGCGACTGTTAAAGACTGGCAGAGATGGGGACAGCCTAACTGAGGGTGGCAACTGGTTCCAGAGTGACAGAGCTAGAACTGAGAAATCCCGGTCCCCACGAGAATGACACCTAGAATGAGGGACAGCGAGCAGGCTTTGGTCAGAGGAGCGCAGAGCACATGATGAAGAATGTCTGTTCAGGAGTGTGGCTAGGTCGGGGGGAGCACCATCCTGGAATAAATTGAAAACAAAGACCAAGAGTTTAAAGTGTGAACGATAACAGACCGGAAGCCAGTGCAGGGAGGCCAGAACTGGACTGATGTGGTCTCATTTCCTGGTCCCAGTCAGAAACCTGGCTGTGCTGTTCTGCACAACCTGTAGGTGGCGCAGTGATGACTGACACAGTCATGCATATAGAGTTGCATTAATCAAGCCTAGAAATTACAAAAGCATGGCATACCCGCTCCAGGTAGGCTCTTGACAGAATAGGCTTGATTTTTGCAAGGCGTCTCAGATGAAAGAAACTGGACCGGATCACAGAGTTGATGTGAGCATCAAATTTAAGTCCAGCGTAAATTTTCACCCCCAAACTGGTGACAACTGGTTTTGAGTAGGGAGAAAGAGGGCCAAGATCAACATAACGACCCACAGCCCTGCTGTTGGGGTGAAAAACAATGAGCTCTGTCTTTCCTTCATTTAGATGCAGGTAGTTGGCCATTAGACTATAGACCCATGGCTTTGTCATCAGTAGTCACGAGTGTCACGTTTCGGTGTTGGTAGGACCCAAAATGCAGGAACCCAAGATGACACGAGGCAGGAGATGATATGAAGTAAAATCATTTTATTAGGATGAATGAAACAAAAATATATCCAAATGGGCTGGAGCCAAAAAACTAATATATCCAAAAGAGCTGAGCAGGAGATCAAAACACTAGAGACAACATGAGAAGACTGACAGAATTACCACAATAGACCGGCACAAGACAAAGACAAGACAGGGCTTAAATAACAGGGAGGAGTAATTAAGGGAGCAGGAAGCAGGTGTGTGGAGTGAGGGCTGGAGGGAAGGCAGGTGACAATAATTACCTAAATGGGGAAACAAAACCAAGGGAGGACAGATAAACCTAAAACTACAAATCCAAACTAAAAGGCTGCAGGAAGGACTAACACACACACACAGACATAAATAACTCACACACACATACTGGGCTGGGGAACAAGAGGCTGGAGCTGCAACTGGAGGGACAGAGGATAACTAAATGAACACCGGACCTGAGGGAATGATAAAAAGACCTACAAACAGAAGACACAATATTGAGACGCAGACAAAGGACACATGAGGGCGCTATGAGACACAGAAGGGAAACTAGAGAGGATGGAGAAACATCAGGAGACACATAAAGGAGGGGGCAGACATGCACACACCCCCACTGACACCAATAAACTCACACACACTAACACACACATACACTAAGCTGGGGAAACAAGAGGCTGGAGCTACAACTGGAGGGGCAGAGGATAACTAAATGAACACTGGTCCTGAGGGAATGATAAGAAGGCCTACAAACAGAAGACACATAATAGAGATGCAGACAAAGGACACATGAGGGCACTATGAGACACAGAAGGGAATCTAGAGAGGGATGGAGAACACCAGGAGGCACAAGAAGGAAGGGGCAGACGCAGACCATGACAATGAGGTCCTTTGAACGTTTGGTGCTGTCCCATCTTAAAAGCACTACAGGTCACCAGCTGGATCCCCTGCAGATTGCCTATAGGGCAAACAGATCAGTGGATGATGCAATTGACATGGGACTGCACTTCATCCTGGAACATCTTGATCAGCCAAGGACCTACACAAGGATATTTTTTGTAGATTTTAGCTCTGCGTTTAACACTGTTATACCAGAAATCCTCACCACAAAGCTCTCTCAGCTCACTGTTTCCCCTGCTATGTGTCAGTGGATTTCCAGCTTCCTGACAAATAGGAGCCAGCATGTGCGGTTGAACAACGTTACATCTGGCACAAGGTTGATCAACACTGGTGCACCACAGGGGTGCGTCCTTTGTCCACTGCTCTTTTCTTTTTACACCAATGACTGCACCTCTGAGGATACAGCTGTTAAAATCCTGCAATTTGCAGATGACACCACTGTCATTGGGCTCATCCAGGATGGTGATGAGTCTGCTTATCAGCGAGAAGTTGAGAGGCTGGTGGTCTGGTGTAGTCAGCACAATCTTGAGCTTAACACCCTTAAGACTGTGGAGATGGTCGTGGATTTTAGGAAGCTTCCCACAGTGCTGTCCCCTCTCACAATATCCAACAGCCCAGTGTCAATGGTGGACTCATTCAAGTTCTTGGGAACTATCATTTTTAAGTATTTGAAGTGGGAGAAAACATTTACATCCTCAAAAAGGCTCAGCAGAGGATGTAGTTTCTACGGCAACTAAAGAAGTATGGCCTACCTCAAGAGCTGCTGATCATCTTCTATACTGCTAAAGTCAAATCCATACTCTGCTCATCCATCACTGTCTGGTTTGGGTCAGCCACAAAAATAGAAAAATGCAGACTATAGCGCATAATTAAAACAGCAGGAAAAATCATTGGTGCCCAACTGCCCTCTGTCCAGGAATTGTACACCAGCAGGACCAGGAAAAAGGCAGCGAACGTTGTCCAAGACTCCACACATGTTTTTAGAGAGCTAACATCTACTGAAGCTAAATTCCTTGTAAATGTAATTTTACTTGGCCAATAAATCTGAATCTGAGAAGCCAAAGATGAAAATGTCACAAGATTATTTACCACTTTGAATTATTTTTCTTGCAAACCACCTAGCTAGTTTTTTTTCCCAAATCTCTACGTTTCCACGTTTATTTCAAATAAATTGTTTGACAGAACTGTAGTATTTAATGAGTGTTGTGTTGCGGTGCATTGATGGTCTCAAGATATTCTATCAAGTGAAACTTTAGCTAGCATTTGGTTATCCAGTTGTTGATGACAACATCTGTTAGCCAAAAATGATTTAAAATTTTTTCCTTGTTGTTATCTAAGGATATTTTAACACAACATTTGACCTACAGTTACAAATAACACATTCTCATTTATTATATTCATACATTCATATAAATACTGTAAATCCTCTAATATTAGCCTGTATTTAATTAACTGCCGGGTATCACATTTTGGCCGGTGTCGGAGACGGCGGAGGTGAATGATGGCCGGTTTTTTATTGTGGCCGGGTGGAATGTGGTAACAAGCAAGTACGGGGGGCGGTTGAGTCATCCGTCTCACTTTTGATTTGCCAGTGATAGACCGCGAGGGTAACTTTAACCGTGCGGAGACGAAGAGGAGGCGAAAATTTGATATCAAGTTCAAAGAGAACGTGCTGATTATGCTGCAGAACACTCTGGGGAGCAGTAGCAGGGGTTGTATGAACTAGTCACTAGTCGACTTCACCGCTCTATAGTGACTTTTTATGCCTGTCATCGACTAGTCGCTGTCACGTGATAATGACCGGCAAGATGCAGTCCTCGGAAAAGACAGCAGCCTGCTGTCAGCAGGTGACAGGTGATGCGCCCCGATCCACAGCAGCGAAACGCATCAGGCACAAATAAAAGAATAAAAAACAGAAAACATAAAAGGAAATGAGCCGACATGAACGATCGCGTGTTAAATTAGTTTTTGAGGTAGCGACACCTGATTTGATAATGTTACTGTGGCCGTGCTCAGGACGCAGATGTCTGGAGCGCGTCAACAATCAGAGCTTTGCATGCGCAAGCTGGTTAAGGTTAGGATGGGGGTGAGGGGAATGTTAAATTGCAAGAGGGTAAACATCACAATTTGGTCAAATGTCCGTTTTACGGCGGCTGTCAATACCGACGCTCTGGCACAGCGCGTTGCCTCCCGTGGCCAGCAAGCAGCGCACACTCCGCTGTTTTTGCGGTCGGTAGATCTTTTAGAACTGCAGTTCAAAGGTAACTCATAAGGTGAATATATATGAACCCAGGTAGCAGTTTTTCTTTAGGATTGAGAGGAGATGTAGGAAGATAATAAACAGGCAGGACAGAAAAAAAGTCAAATAAAAACAAGTTAGTTTACCTGGTGGTTGCAACAAACAGACACCATTGAAGGTAATCAGAAGTGAGGAACAGAAAATGAAATAATTATTTTAATGTTTAGAGCAGCAGGAACTCCGAGAGGCTGCAGGCGCATCAGTGAGTTTGCGGCCGCTGCACAGGGGGAGGGGAGAGATGGCTGAAGCAGGAACTACCTTTGTTAAAAGAAATGTGTTTAACTTTGAAAATGTGGGCGCAATTTTAATTGTCAAAAACTCCAGCGAACCATTAGTTCATTTTGCTCAAAGAGAAATTGAGGCCTGCCTCTAATTCTGGTCCTCCTTCCAATAAAGGCCTGGAGCTTGATGAGCTTGAGTCAAATACAGACCCGGGCCTGTATTAGAGGATTTACGGTAATACAAAATATGCTTTTTGTTTTTGTTTTTTTCAGTAAAAATCGTGAGCATTTTCAGTTCTGTTTCTTGTGGGGAAAAAAACATTTTTGGTGTTCTTGTTATGTTTTGATGCTAATGGAGGCAATTAAAGATTGTGTCCTGCAAACTGTGGTTGATAAAACATTATTTTGTACACAGGAACTCTAACACATCTATGTTTAGTAGTTGAAAACGCGTCTTTTGTTTAAAAGTAGGCTTCTGTTGATTTAACACGATTTTATTTCAGGTTTAATACTAATTTGTTAAAACTTTTGCTGAACTTGTGTAAGTGATTTTTCAACCATCTCGTCGCCTGGATTCTCAGCCAATTGCGACATCACTGCTGGTCACGTGACGGTGAAAGTGCAGGAGGGGGGCACGCGCAGGGTTTTTTCGCACTTTTGTAAACAACATGGCGACCCGCGGACTGTTCCAGCGTTCCAGCTAGCAGACTAAAAAACTAACTCCACGCTGTTTGATCTCCAGTTTTCCGCGCAACAGGCTGCGTTCAAGTTCCGGTTCTAACATCAAATAAAGTCCACACCGGAACGAGAGAGTAGGCGGAGCGAGGAGCTGTCAGCAGGACAGTCAAACGGTAGCGGCTGTTGTTAGCTGTCGCTGCTAACTCATCCTTATCAGACACATCTTTAATGGTGACAAGCTAACAACACATCACAAATGTTCTGGTCGATTTCTTTACCCGAACCCGTAGTTTGCCTGTTGTAGATTCAGTAACTAACCGATGTCAGTCTGGTCCAGCTGCAATAGACCTCAGTGTTTTTGTTTTTGTCTGCGCTCACCTGACTTCCTCAGGTAAACCTGAGCCTGTTCTTTTACATCTCTCTGCCAGGCCTTTTCAGTCTATGGGCTCTCAGTCCAGTTCTGGGATGTCTTGTGGAAGGGGCTCTTCCAGTGACAACCCAGCAGGTCAGTCTGAAGGAGCCGAACCGAACCAGAGCAGCAGCAGCAGTAACCGAGGCCGCAGGTCGGCAGACAGGCAGCTGGGAGACCGGCAGTCGGCTTCAGAGGAGGACGTAGACTTAGCTGAAGTTCTGGCTTATCTACTGAGGAGGTGATCTGTTATTAACGAGCTTCTAGGGTATTTTTCTTGTCTCAGCTCCATCATCAGTGATGTGTAACTCAAGGTCGTTGTAATTTCTGATTTCCTGTTCAGCTTCCATGTGTGAGCAGCTGGAGTCAGACTGGATGTTTACAGGATTACACACGTCACACATGTTTAGATTTAGCTTTTAAAGTATAGTATATACGATCAGATAGATGATGCTTAGAGTGTTTACTGCTTAAATAAGGCATCTCTGATATTTTTGAGTTTCCAATACCAAAACATTCCCCTAATTAAGATTCTGTTATTAACAGGAAACAAGTGAAAGCAGCAGATCAACTGGGGACGTTTTAGAAAGACTGAACATTTTTTAGCTTTCAGCCGATCTCCAAAATAAGCTGTGTTTACTTTAGTGTCCATTTAGGTGACAGCTTGACCTTTAACTTACTCGTTGCTGCTCAGTGGGGCCACATACTGAATGATGTTTGTGTGTGTGCAGGGGCCAGGTCCGACTGGTCCATGGCAGTGAAGCTACAGGACTGCAGCTGGTCCAGTCCTATTCTGACTCTGATGAGGACAGTGACGGAGCCTGGGATGGACGTCTTGGGGACCGTTACAATCCACCAGGTAACTCCTGACTCTGCTGCATTCACAGGCTTTAAGTTAGGAGACTAAAGTGTTGCTTACTAGGGTTGGGCATCGAGCATCGATTGGAACCGGTTCCAACTGTTAGTTTTTCCCAGAAATGTTCAAAGTTTTTTATTTTGATTCCTAGAATGCCAACCGGAAGAGGAATCCGCAGCCGATCTCCGTGAAAAATAAACGTGATCTGCAAATTGTGATCAACGCTCTTCAGAGCTGATCACACCAGCTGTCTTGTGTGCAGCACCGAGTCTGTTAATTATAGCTAGAGGGGTTTATTAAATGCTTTATTTGTTTTCATGGAGCTTAAAACCAGTTTGGCAGCAAGTTGTAAAAATGAAAGTCTGGAATAACACCGGACCAGCCCACGGAGCGTTGGACATATTCATACAGCCTTCCCCATCACAATTTGAGCTTATACCTGAACATAAAGTATGCAGCTGAGATCCTGCCGTCAGCTCTGACCTCCTACTCAGACGTGATCTTCTCTCCCTAGTGGACTCCCAGCCCGACACACACGAAGTGGACCACAGTGAGATCCGAACTCAGATCCTCCTGGCCACGGCCTCGTCATCCCTGAAAGGCCGTCACAGTTTCACCCACATGCTCACAGAGGTCAGACCACACACTACAAACCTAAACCAGAGGGCAGCTCATTAGATATGTTCTATAAAAAAACTGAAGCATTTTTTTTTGTAAATGATGTGATTTTATAGTTGTTGTTTTTTAATTAGTTATAAACGTTTGTTCTTCCTGTTGTTCCCAGAGGGAACAAGGCAGGTGTAGAGGCTCCAGCTTTTCCCATGGAGAGTGCAGCCGTATCCGCACACAGTGAGAAGCAGTCACACGTCTGTTTATGACAAAAGGTTGAATTTCTGCTTGGATTATGTTTTTAGCATGAACCTTTTTTCTTTGTTTCTCAGCTTCCTACCAAATTATGTCTCCCACAAGGATTCGTACCTGCAGAAAGCTTTCTGTGGTGTTTACAGCGAGGACGGCAACACGTTCCTCTCTGCCTGCCAAGGTAAACAACACGACGTCTGACCTCAGAGCTCAAAGAGCTGAATTTGATCTTAAAATAATAATAAAAGTGCAGATTAACGTAACTGTTTATGCAGTCACACAAACACAACTATCACAGCTTTTATCATAATCTAACAGAACAAAAACTATCGTCCCTTAAAGCAGATACAGAAAAGGTACGTTTGTTTTAAGATATTATTAGAAGATAAATTAATCTTTTATTTCCTCACTCATGATCTTCTGTTTTGACAGAAGTGAGCAGACAAGTTGCTGCCTGTTTTCTGTCTCGTTTTTTTATTCATGTGCTTCTGCGAGCTCTGAGCTGACAGCAAGACACTGATGTAATGCTTCACCAATGCTCATAAATAACTGCTGCTTTAATCCATAAAAATGTAATAAATCCTTTTTTCAGATCAGAACATCCGCCTGTACGACACCTCCAGAGGACGCTTTAACCTGCAGCGGACGGTGAAGGCGCGTGATGTCGGCTGGAGCTGCTGGACGTCTGCTTCACCCCCGACGCTCGCCACTTGCTCTACTCCAGCTGGTCCGACTACAGTAAGGCTAACCCCCAGAGAAAGTTCACCACATTGCTAAATATGGATTATTTAAAAATGGTAATGAGACTATTCTGAAGAAGATGTAGCTGTTCGTGGATAATCAAAGCTCCGTCTCTCATTTATGAAAAAGTCCCATTTCCTTTATTTAAACACAAATACTCATCAAGTTGGGAGGGGAATCGCACCTGCTTTTCATCTTCAGCAAAAAAAAAAAAAAAAACTTACAAGGAACGAAAATAATTATAAGAGTGTGAGAAAGCATCACTGCAGGGAGCACTAGACTGCTTATCATGGTCTGTAATTTCTGTATTTAATCCTTATATAGTTGCATATTCGATATATATATATATATATATATATATATATATATATATATATATATATATATATATATACCCTCATTTACCCTCATTCATCAACAATCTTTATTTTCTGATTGTGTAAATCCTAAAACATTAGGTTCACAGTCACACAACGTGGCTGTGCTGCAGTAAAAGCAGAGAAGAGCTGCTACGGAAGCTTGTGTGTCCACAGGTCATGTAAGGGGCTTAAAGTGAAAGTGTGTAGTTTCCCTGGCGATAGGGGGCAGTACATACCTAAATGATTGCAAGCAGGCATTACTTTTGTGTTACTTCTCCGTCAGCTCCACGAGGGAGAGACACGCACGCACAGACAGAGACAGTTTTCCCTCATACTTCTCCGTCTCCTGGAGAGTGTTGCAAAGCAATTCCCCGCCAGGACAACAGAGGGCGTAGCGCTGTTCTGTGGTATCCTGTCATGTATCCAGTCCAAGATAGTGTTAATATTGTGTTTTTTGTATTTAAAAGACTTTTTAACACAGAAAAATGTGTCCCTCATCCTCCACCTTTTCCTGCTCTCGCCACCTCTAAACCCACGTTTCCTGTCATTTCCATCAACAAATAAAACTCTTGCTGCGTATCTTTTCACTCCTCCAGTCACGGGTGATAAAACGTTCATATTTTTAGAGTTTTTCCGCAAGGCACCCTTGAAGCTGCTCCGTGTCTGCCGCTAGATATCCTCAGCTCTATTTGTGTTTTTGAGGGCGCAATGGCGGCGCTGTAGACGACAGCGACATACTGACCAATCACAAGCTTGCGTTCTCCATCTGGGCAGACGGATGTTTAGAAAAGAGAGGTCGACTCCGTCCGTCCTTGCGAGGGCTCTAGCAGGCTTGCAAGGACTGAGAATTGCGTGCATGTGTCCGTCCCGACGCAAACAGAGAAGTATAAATTAGGCTTAAGACCTTACCAACGGATGGCCTTTAGGGTCAAAAATCCATGGGAGCTCAGCGTGCGAAGAGGTAAATGTGTTAAACAACGTTTATTAATGGTGAAGTTTTGTAACCGCTTGTTACAAATCAGGAAATGCATTTTGTCCTCACGGGCTTCCGTATAAGGAAATATGGCATCCAATATGGCGCCGCCCAGAGACTTAGGCCCTGTCCACACGTAGCCGGGGATCTGCCAATACGTAGATTTTTTCCTACGTTTTGGCCTGTCATCCACACGAAAACTGAGTTTTTTCACACGAAAACGGATCTTTTTAAAAACTCCAGCCAAAGTGAAGATCTGCGTTTTCTTCGTTTTGGGTGTCTGCGTGTGGACGGACAAAACCGGAGTTTTAAGATCCGCAACGTCACTTTCCGCGACAAAAAATGCTGACATCACGTGTGCGACCTGTGTTTACACTAGCCGACATCATGGAAGCCCTCAGAGCTGCGCTCTGTCACTACCCGATCCATCAATTGTCCAAGCGCTTTCTGCTTGTTTGTTTTTGCAAGCGGAATTACTGCTCCTTGTGGAAGACCACAGACGAAGGACGAGGTTAAGAACGGGGGAAGTACTGCCGCCTACAGGTCTGGCATGTCCTTAACAACGTATTTATCCGGGTACGTGTGGACAGAGTTTGTTTTTAAAACGCAGTGGTGTGGATGCAAGTTTTTGGAGGGGCGGATATTCGTTTTTAAAAAACCCCGGCTACGTGTGGACTAAGCCTTAGACCCGCTCCCATGTATTTTAGAACATATTTTTCAGGTTATATGTTATGAAACTGCCAATATTTTTCATCAACTGGGCTTCTTTTAATTCATTTACAACAACATTTTGGTGGATATTTCCAGAGATGAATGGTAAAAACTACACATTGTCACTTTCTGACAAACAATGGAGGCATATTTCCTTTTTTTAATTTCATACACTGTTGGTTTGTTTTTCCCTCATTCTGTCATCGTTTAATGATGACATCAGTGTTCACCTGTGAGGTAAACCTGCAAAAGTCCCAAAGAGTTCGACTCCTCATTAACACCATTACTGTATAAAACAAACAGACCCGACCTATAGCTTTCTGTGGGGCCTTTTTGAAGCCAAATCAGCGGGTCTCACCACCTCCATCTCATGCTACCTGTAAATCAAATCTAATCATTCATAATTTCAAGCATTTAATTCCACCTAAATGGAAGATGTATAAAAATCCACCCCCCTCAGAGTTGTCATCACTGTAAATTAGATCTATTAAACCTAAAATGGTTTATTGAACCAGGCTGTAAACATGTTTAATTCTGATGCGAAGTTGGCATTTTTAACATGGGAGTCAATGAGGATTTGCTCACTTCTGGTGCCAGCCCCTAGTGGATGAGGGGAGAACTGCCATTCCTTGTTGGCTTCACAAAATTTAGACCAAAGCTCTCTTTTAGATTAACAGGATGTTGTTGAATAACCGAAGGAGATGTGATTGTCTGTCTGTGTCCTCTCTACAGTTCATCTGTGCAGCATAGATGGAGACGGTGAAAACCACACCGCCCTGGACCTCAAGTGAGTGTTTCCTCCGTAGTAACGCAGACCAGAGCAGATGATCAGTCACCCAGCAGCTGGCCTTCCTCTCCCCTCATTACCACCTGGATGGATGAATGAATGATGCTGTCATGCCATCATTCATCCTCTCACTGTGTGTGTGTGTGTGTGTGTGTGTGTGTGTGTGTGTGTGTGTGTGTGTGTGTGTGTGTGTGTGTGTGTGTGTGTGTGTGTGTAGTCCAGATGAGAGGAGGTTCTGCGTGTTCTCTCTGGCTGCATCAACAGATGGAAAAGAGATTCTGGGCGGGTGAGGACTTTTGCTTTTACATCTCAAATCAGGACTAAGCTGGTTTGGACGTTTAGACGTATCGTTCCACTCGTTCTTCTGAGTGAGGGAACACACTTTTCATACCTGTGAGGAGTAATCAGATTACACACCTGAAATGTAACCCATCTCTCCTGTGGTGGCTTTTCAGGGCAAACGACGGCTGCCTTTATGTTTTTGATCTTGAGCAGAATAAACGAACACTGAAGGTGAGTGTGGCTGGTTGTCATGGTTTCTCCTACACACACACACACACACACACACACACACACACACACACACACACACACACACACACACACACACACACACACACACACACACACACACACACACACACACACACCTGTGAGAGGTCAAAGGTCAGTCTGTTCTGGTGGCTGGCTATAAATATGTGGGCTGATGTACATTTGAAATCATCCAGCAGTTTAGCGTAATCTGCTCCATTGCTGTTTTTCACTGGTTACACACACACACACACACTTTCTGTTTCCTTGTCAGATTGATGCCCACGAGGATGACGTGAACGCTGTAGCGTTTGCCGACAGCTCGTCCCAGCTGCTCTTCTCTGGCAGTGACGACGCTGTGTGTAAGGTGTGGGACAGACGGTCTCTGCGGGAAGACAGACCGCAGGCCGTTGGACAGCTGGCCGGACACAGAGACGGCATCACCTTCATCCACAGCAAGGTGGGTGGGAAAGTTCCTGAACTAGTCAGGAGGAGGTGGACGACTGGTCGAGTTAACAGTGCTAGCGTCTTGTTCTTGTCTCAGGGTGATGCCCGCTATTTAATCAGCAACTCAAAGGACCAGTCCATCAAGCTCTGGGACATCAGGAAGTTCTCTCCCAAAGAGGGTCTGGCGGCCTCCCGCCTAGCCGTCACGCAACAGAACTGGGATTACCGCTGGCAGCAGGTTCCCCAGAGAGGTGAGGAGAGGGAGGAGAACCAGATGGGGAGGAGAACGGGTCATTTATTATATTTATTCGTGTTTGGGTTTCAGCTCTAAAGAGACACAAGCTGACAGGCGACACCTCAGTGATGACCTACCGCGGTCACGGCGTTCTGCACACGCTCATTCGCTGCCGCTTCTCTCCAGAGTTCAGCACTGGACAGAGATACATCTACTCCGGCTGCTCCACCGGCAAGATCATCAGTGAGTCTCTGCGTGCGTGCGTGTTTGTGTGTGTGTGTGTGTGTGTAAAACCCTTTGTGAGATGACAGGACGTGCTTCTCGTTAAAAGACTGAAGTGCTCTAAACGTGTGTGTGTGTGTGTGTGTGTCTAGTCTACGATGTGCTGACTGGCGTGGTGGTATCTAGGCTGTCGGGTCATGACGCGTGCGTGAGGGATGTCAGCTGGCACCCATACGAGGACAAGATCATCAGCAGCTCTGTGAGTTAAAACGCCTTCAGGGAAACTTAAATTTAATCTGAAGTGAGTTTTTTCCAAGTGTCAATCAAGAAGGCAGCCTGTAATCTAATGAAACAACAGATTTAAGAATTTAATATCTGAATAATGATCATTAAGGAACATTTTTAAATAATACGTTAATGATCTCAGTGACATCATTAACCATCTTATCCTGCAAATGATCAAACAAGACTAAAACGTGAAGATTTTGTGTCCACAGTGGGACGGAGCGGTGCGGATGTGGGAGCACAGACAAACCCATCCTCTGGAGGAGGAGCGTGAGAGGGACAAGGACTGACGCGTGGAGGAGGACAGCCAGAGAGGAGCAGAGATGGAGGAGTAGAGGAGACATCCTGGCGGGTGTGTGTTAGCTCGGTCAGGCTGTGAGAGACTTTAATATCTTTTAAAATCACGCTGGATCACAGGTTTTCCTTCAGACGGGCATTAAGGCGAATGATCCCTGTATTTCTTTTGTGCTTTTCTTTTTTTAACTGCCTCTCTGTGTTCTGCAGAATAAACAGACCGGTGTTGTGTTTTTATTCTGACCCGGTCTGAAACTGTTCCCTCAGCCATAAGAGCGGGAACTCCTGCAGTCGGATGCTAGGATGTAAGCTAATGAGATTAAGGTGGGCGGTGGTGATTCTGTATACATGTATAGTATTTTAATGGTAAGTCTATTCAGGGAGAGTGTGTAGGTAGCTGTCAGCTAGACTCTGCTGTTAGAATTTAAGTCAGAAACCCTACACTTCAACCTGATTGGCTGTTTCCCAGTAGGGAGCATCATTTAAATGAGCACCAGAACCCTCAGTTCTTTCTGTTTTTGTTCTTAAAGGGTGGTTCTGTTGGCCGGTGTAGGCCGTGACACGTTTAAAAGATGTGTGTGATGTGGTGTTCAATCAGAACCAGGGACGAGCACATGGTCCAAACATTCACTCTGATCTGTAATATGCAATTGTCAGGTGTTCACTTTCAAACTGCTGTTTGAAAATGAGATACTGCTGTTTTACAGTTACAATAAAATATATATAAAAACTCTAAATGTGTCCCTGCTGCATTTTATTCAACACTGCTCCAGTCTCAGCCTAAAAGCCGCCTGCTGTCATAAAAACCTGTCCTATTTTACACATTTCTATTTGTATATTCCAGATATTTATTCATATCCTAGTCCAAGTTCCTAGTTTGTGAATTGTTTGTTCACTGACAATGGCAACAAACCTATTCTGATTCTGATATGTTATTTAATAGTTATTTATTATACTATTAATAAGGATAGAGGTTTTTTATACGGCACCTTTCAAGATAAAGATTACAAAGTGCTTCTCAAGCATAATAAAGTGTTAAAAAAAGATTTAAAAAATTTAGATAAAAAAAATTAAAAGAAAAAGTAATCCATTCATAAATATTTGCAGTTATATTTTAATAAACATTTTTTGTTTGTTATATAGTTCCATCCTATTTATATCAATTGTTTCCCATCCAATAATTTTATAAGTAACTCAAAATTTTTACATTATTCATACATTAGTTGGTAATTATTTAATACAATTAATCTTCATACTCTGTTAATAAATATTTGTAATAATGCAAATTTTTATTATATCTTAGTAAATGTTATAAAATCCTATTTTTCCCCTTTCCTGATTCCTACAGCAGCCTCAGGGCAACGTCTGCAGTAGCAGTGGAAGCTAACAGGATGCTATTGTAGTGACAGCAATGCAGTTGTCGCTCTAAAATTAGCCTGAGATTCTTCTGGCATGTCTGGTTTCATTTACACCCACTGTTTCTGCATCAGAGCAGCAATGCTCATTATAACCCGCTGCTGAGATGTGGACGCGCCGGCCCTAGCTGGCTCTGTTACACCCTAACCCCACAGAAACAGCTGTCTGCCGCACCAAAAGCAGACTGGCACCATTTCTCACCTAAAATAGTTGTGCTTCCATCTCAGCAGCCACTCCTGAAAGAGGAGGGAATCGGGGAACGGGAGCAGAAGGATGCATTTAGAGCAATAATTGTGTTTATTAGATGATTTAAAAGCAGGAACGACTGCAGCGTCTTTAGTTGTGTTGCTTTGAAAATAACTGGATTCCTTCCAGCAGCTGGTAACACCCCGTCTCCTTTTTCAGTGTGTGTGTGTGTGTGTGTGGGGGGGGGGGGGGGGGGGGGGGGGGGTCAAGGGGACAGAGTGGCAGTATTTTTATAAACCATGTGCTCTGCTGTGTTCCCGTCAGTAACAACGTAGAGCTGCTTTGCGTCTCACACAGAACAGCAGGAGAACTCAGAAGGTCTGGTTTTATATGGATCCAAAAGCTGGAACCTCCTCAGGAGGCCCCCTATCAGAGATCCAGCTGGAGAAGCTCCAGAGGAGAGCTGCGGAGCTGACGGTTCCCGGGAGGTTCCTCATCAGACCTCTGAATGCTGCTCTGGAGTTCGTCACCAACCTGCTGGCCCGGCTCTTGGGGAGCAGCCTGGTCCGAAGGCACTTCCACCTGCTGCTGTCGGGGCTGCTGGTGTTTGGACCGGTGCTGAGTCTGTGGGTGTCCAGGTACAGCATCTTCGCTAACAGAAACCACTACCTGTACAGGTGAGAGCTGTTTAAACACCTCAGGTTAACTAAAGCCGTGGTAACCTTGTCTAGTTTTAGGTGAACATCTTTATATTTAATATTTTTGTGTCTTCATAATCATTCCAGCTGACCCTAACTGACCCTTTCTGCAGGAAGTTCCTGCAGTCCACTTGGGGATGGACCTGTACCCTCACAGGCTCCTTCATCCTGCTCCTCACCTTTTCAGCCCGTCGCTCGCCATATCTCTCCCTCCGCCACCTCTCTCGGATCGGGCTGGCGGGCCTGCTGTGCTGGGGGTGTCGCCACCTCCTGACCCTGCTGGAGGACGCCGCTGGAGCCTGTTATGAACCCATACACACAGACGTCCAGAACCCTGACCCTACAGCACAGCCTCTCCTTCTCCTGCATGAAGACCAGACCAAGGCCTCCTGCCTCAAAGCCAACATGATGTGGAGGGGGTACGAAGTCTCCCAGGACACCCTCCTCCTCTGCCTGTGCTGCCTGCTGCTAGTGGAGGAAATGTCCATCTTTGGTCGTCACCTGGCCCAAGAGAAGCAGCTCCAGAGGTCCCCGAGTGTCCCGCTGAGGGTGCTCTTCTTCCTGTGTGTACTTCTGCTCTTCATGTGGATGTTCTTGCTCCTGTGTATACTTGCTTACTTCCCCGTATGGCCCTCCCAGCAGCTAGGGGGGGCGCTGGGCTACCTGGGCTGGAGGGGACTCTACCAGGGCTGGTTCAGGCTAACACCACGCTGGGGGTCCCCTGGCCTCCCAGGAGAAAGCCTCTTTAGCACCAGAGACTCTGACAAACAGCCCCAGTTTTAACAAAGTTAGCAGCCAGAAACTCTGTGAGTGGAGAAGCTTTATTTATGCAATGTGAGGGGAAACGAGAGCCTTTCTGTCAGACTGAGGGTGTCGTTACTTGATCAGTGTTATGAAACAGTAGCTGCAGCTTGTTAAAAACGTCTCTGGTCTCAGTAGATGAGAGCTTTCCCGTCTCCTCTGGGCTTCTTGATCTTGTCGTAGTTCTTGTTGATGATGTCGAACAGCACGGCCTGGAGAGACAAGGACCAGACGGACAGACTCGTGAGGGCGGTTGTTAGATTCCCAAAAGATTCAGCACAAGATCCAAGACAGAGGGGGTAACACACCCCCTCCTCCTCCACCCAGCAACCCCTTTCATCCTGGGCTGAGACGCCTTGCCCATTAACAGCATCAAACACGAGGGGACAATGGCCACAGGGACCTGACACTCTGATTAATGGACTGCATATGGAGCAGTAATCAATTTAACACAAGCAAGGCTATTACTTTAATTACCCGCCCACCTCCATGACATCCTACAGTATTAATGAAGCAGGGATAGCATTTAGCCGTGGTTGACGCTGGGAAACAGCTGGAATCGTTTACATCCAAACCATGGAGGAGGAGCCTTACGTAGGTGTTGCGGATGTCCAAGACCACAAGGCGGAGCTCGCAGTACTGGTACTGGTCCAGCTCATGGACCAGCTGTCTGTAGTCTCCCTGCAGCAGTTTTACACAAACATCACCATTTCAGGGTAGCGTTCACAATCAACACTTGTGTTAGGATGAAGATAACCATGGTGGATGTGGGATACTGACCACATGGGGCTGTTTGGAGGCCTTGGCCACAGCGTCGCCCCTCTCACTGTAATACCTGCAACAATAAACAAGGAACGACTCAATCACAACCGCTCGTTGCTGTTTGTTACCATTTAGCGCCAGAACTACAACAAACCGATGAGCACAAGAAGTCATTCGCTAAAGGGGCAACAGCAATCCCAAACGAGGACCAGAGACCTGACCTGGTCCACCTGTTTAGCTTCAGCTGAAGGGTGCAGGGTCTTACTTTGAAATCTGAGTCTGGAATGCTTCGATCTTGGTGCGTGTGTTGGTCAGCAGCTCAAACACTTTCTCCTGTTTACCGAAAACAAACGTTTAAAAATCAGATTCATGTCAAAGCTGTGGGGTTTCATCACATTCTCAGCTGTTACCAACCTGCACCGCCACCCCAAAGTTATTACCATCTTCAATTCTAGGGATCTGGAGCTGCACCCACATGGACACCTGCCAGAAGGACACCAGTCTTTGGTAACTAGAGGCTTCCTAAAGATAAGTGATCCGTTCACACGTTAACCTAAGGCTGACTGACCGTGTTCAGCTTCTCCCTCAGAGTCTGAATCTCAGGTTTGACCTCCTTCAGGAGGCTCTCCACTCGCTCGTTGCTGTAGATGGGCCCACATGGAGGTCCTGGAGGAAAAACAACCCCAACATGGTCACAGTATCTAATAAAATTCCTTCTAACAAAACCTGAGTATAGTTTTATTCCTGGGAGTGAATGAATGAATATGCAGCTATTTTTAGACGCTGTTAATCAGCCGCCATCTTGATCAGAACTGTCACTTACCTGCATCCTCCTCCTCTTTTTCACTGTCCTTGTCCTTCTTTCCCTCCTTAGCCTCCTTCTGCAGCACGAGAACAAAGAGAGTCATGTCAGACGCTTTAAATGGCGTTAATCTGTTTGGTTCATTTAATAAGCACCTCCTTTGTTGTCTTTGCATAAGAAATAGGGTTTATTTAAAAAAGCATTCCAACCTAAAGCCTTTACTGCAGGCTGCAGCGAACCCCGATCACTTTCAGACATTCTCCGGATTAGATTAGATTCTGAACATTTTCCAGTGTGCAACCCCATCAGGAGACTGAGGAGCATCACGAGGCCCACACACTGTCAGTTTGTTAAACAGCACTTGGAAATTACACAGTGATTGGCTGCCATGGTAACCAAGGACTCGTTTCAGCAGTGCCAACCCACAATAAAACCCTAAATATATACACTGAGCTGAGGACCCCAGTTTAGAGGCTCCACTCAATCCTGAAGAAGGTTGAATACCAGGAGCCTGTTGCATTTATGATCACGGTTACTGCTGGACAGGCTGTATTAAGAGACCCCTGGAGTGTGGGACGAACCTCCTCCTTCTTCTTGCGCCTAGCCTCCTCTTTAGCTGGATCTGGTATGGGGATGTCCAGCGGAGCCTTTATGGAGGCCAGGTCCTCGCAGTTGAAAGATGTCTGACACAAACACAACAGCAACTCCACAGCTGTCAGAGCTCTATCTGGGTTGTTTTAAATAACTGTTGATCTGAAACGATCAGCTTCGTACCTTCAGTAACATCTGGAGCTGTTCAAGCTTCTCTGGGAAAAACTTTGACAGCAGCTCCTCTGCCTGAAACAAAAACATGAGTTTATAGACCTACTAAGATAACAAAAATTAAATCTATGTACACAAAAAAAGTTACCTCCTTGGAGAGCTTCTGGCAGAAGTCATCCACCTAAAATAAAATAAAATTCATGAGCAGCAGCGGAACCCCATTTTATTTTGAAACTCGCGATATTTTGAGCTTTTATTTTGGCAGGAGTACAGGCCTTGCAGCCAACCTGAGTCCTGACCCCTGACCTCAGCCCTGCTGTGGGTCTGCTAATCAAACACCCGTGAGCTGCTCACACCCGCCAAGTGTTCAGGGCAAAGTGGTTTCGACGCGGTTTTGGTACAGGAAACAAAGAAACCGAGCTCACCTGCTTCTTCGATTCGAAGCCAATCCCCAAAGACGCCATGTCGACTCTGCTGGTCAAAAACAAACTTATTTAATAAGTTTAACGGTAATAAAATGATGCAGGAGCAGAAGAAAGAAGAGCGTAAGACTCTGTAACTCGACACTGAGAAATGGACGCAGTTACTCAGCATTAAAACAGAAAATGAAAGTATTTTGTGACAGTTCCGTACTTTCCCCAGACCTGCCGCCATGCATTGTGGGATGTGTAGTTTTAAACCCAGCTCTGAATTCACGATGCGTTTAGCCCTATAGAAAAAGACACATGAATAATTTAATTGACTTTCATTGAAGGTGAACATCTACTCAAGTAAAGGGAGCATCAAAGAGCAGCAAGACCATTAATTTAATTATGGCAGCAGTCATTCCTACTGAATCACACACATTCACCAGCTGAGGGATGTACGCACAATACGTACAAGCAAAAGCATTTTTGTGCTCACTGCTGTGTTTTTGTATATCCCTTTGGCTCTTATAATGCAGTTTATGTAATGTTTTCCCCTTGGTGTGAATTTTTGGGTGAATTACCCTAAAATGTGTCAAAAGTGTCCCCTTTCCCATTTAACACAACGCTGGCATCATTCCATCGTACTTCCTTCGTCATTTATTGGCTCTCATAATAATAATATGAGTATTTACATAATTTCTTTAACCGCTCCGCTTTGGGTTTCCAGACCGTTCACAGATTAAATGTTTAGTTTTTACTGTTTTCCACTAGGTGGCGTACTTTCTCATAATGGGGCAGGGCAGTGACTGAAACTGCATTGAATTTAAGTCCATAAACTGGTCTAAATAAATAAATAAATAATATAAAGGCCAGTTTTGTGCCAAGTAGGTTGTTAAAAGATGAAAAATATGCTTTCATCATTGGTAGTTTGGTTAAATAAACCTAAATTAAATCCACTAGACCATTGTGTTTAATTCTGGGCTTGGAGGGCCGCATCCAGCACGTTTTGGTTTTAACTGTTTCAACACACCTGATTTCAATCAGCAGGTGATTAACAGGTTTTTGCAGAGCCTGATGAGCTACTGCACAGGCGATTCAGCCACTGAATTGAGTGTGATGGAGCAGGAAAACCACCAAAACATGCAGGAGAGCGGCTCTCCAGACCAAGAATTGAATACCCTTGTACTATACAGATATTTGTATTTTTGTATTAATATTTAAGAGTTTGATTCCCATCTCAACAGAGCTGTGAGAGCAGACAACAACGCCCCGGTGCATAACTTGGTCAGGGAGACCCAAACAATACCCACTGACATAGCCTAGAATCTGCATGGCCCGCCAGGCTACCACTGATGGGAAAGAAAGTTGGGAAATCTGGAAAATTTTACGTTCAGATTCTAAACAAATAATTCTAATTTATAAATATTTGACCACTGATCCTAAATATAAACACGTTCTTTGAGTTCTGTTTATTTGTTTTTATATATTTAAATATAACATTGACAGCTAGTATGCAGAAAATATATATTTTTAATTTCCCCCCAGTGGACGCTCTAGTTTTAATTATGTCCATGACCACTAGAGGGTAATGTTGTGCCGACTGGAGTCAATAGAAGACCTGTAGTAGACCTACAGGATGCAGGTAAATATTAACAGCCTCTGTACAAACTCAGGGACATTATTGTGTTTGCTTTATGGTTTGCTTTTGTAGTCCAACTCATATTGTTTTTATGTGAAGCAGATTTCACCCATGTATTAAACCCGTGGGGATAATTTAAGACTAGAGATGTCAGGATGTCAGTGGAAGATGGTGAACATCTTCATGTCAGCATCTGTAGTTGAACTCAGTATTGAGCTGCCAGAGGGTCTCTCTCTTTCATCAGGCTGTATGTGGACAGAGTTGGGGTTAACCAGGTCAGGTCAAAGTGTAAAGCAAACATAGGAACCCCACTGTAAACAGAACTCTGGCTGTCCGAGGTTTAGATCCATCAGATTATTCACAACACCGCACGAATAATTCTCTCCAGATTCAGTCACTTGGTTAATAAGTCATTGATGGCCTGGAACACACTCATTCTGATGTCTGCTGACAACCTTTAACACTCGGGTCTGATGTAATATTCAGCGTCTGATCCAAAGAGCAAAGGCTAGAATTGTTTGAAACACGTTATTGACGCTTTAATTTGACAGATCAAAAACATGCTTGCTAGGGTAATTTCCTGCTTCTTTATACCCACATCTGTAAGTCATATTTAGATGAATGCATCCACCAAAATAAATAAATGTAACAATAAACACGACTGCACAGGTTTGGATTAAAATGCTGAAGAGTTCAGTTCAGAACGGCTGTTGAGACATGATCAGAGCAAAGGTCAGATATCGCAACAGAAAACGAAGCACAAAAAAGGCCTTTATGGAAAAACTTTGGATTTGTGAAGGATTCTATCTACCATAGTTACATGGTGGAAATTGCAGAATCATAGTTGGGGTTCTGTTTATCTCCTTTAAACTGAATCTGACCTACATTTGAGCCTAAACTTTCCTCTTCTGAACAAACAGAAAACATGTTGGTCCATCAGGTCAAAGGTATCTGACCAAAGCCACAGTCCACCTATCATTAACATTCTGGAACATGCTGGAAACATTATTTTCTGTGGAAGACATTTGCTCTAATTGTTCTGCGATCAATTTTTCACCTCAAACAAAAAAAAGACCATGAGGTAAATAAATACTGGTGTAACTGGTAATCTCTTGAACCCAATAAAAACTGTTGGACAATAATGGATTCATGCAATATTAGCATACAGACTTAACTAAAGACGCCCTTTGCTGTGTGTACATATTTACAATCTTGTTTTTAGCAAATACAGATTGTCAACTAAACAAGTATGGTATAAAATTAAGTTTTTTTTATTTGACGAGTTAATAAAAAGTCTTTGCAGCAAGTTCAAATGAAAGTCTGCTGGAGCGGTAAACAGTTACACCCCTGCAGTTTTTTAGAAGAAGATCTTTCATGGACGTTAAAACAAAGAGTCGGAGTACCCGTCCCGGAGCGTTACCGGGGTCCCACCCTGGAGCCAGGCCTGGGGTTGGGGCCCGTGAGCGAGCGCCTGGTGGCCGGGCTTTCACCCATGGGGCCCGACCAGGCCCAGCCCGAACCGGATACATGGGCTCATCCAACTGTGGACCCACCACCCGCAGGAGGAACATGAAGGGTCCGGTGCAATGTGGATCGGGTGGCAGACTGAGGCGGGAGCCTTGGCGGTCCGATCCCTGGACAAGGATACTGGTTATTGGGACATGGAACATCACCTCGCTGGCGGGGGAAGGAGCAGGAGCTTGTGGCAGAGGTTGAGCGGTACCGGCTATAGTCGGACTCCCTTGACACATAGCATTGGCTCTGGAACCTAAGTCCTTGAGAGGGGGTGGACACTCTCCTTTGCTGGAGTTGCTCCAGGTGAGAGGCGGAGGGCTGGGTTAGCATTTTGTTAGCCCCAAGACTCTCTGCCTGTGTGTTGGAGTTTACCTCGGGGGACGAGAGGGTAGCTTCCCTGCACCTTCGGGTTGGGGAACGGGTCCTGACTGTTGTCTGTGCTTATGGGCCAAATATCAGTTCAGAGTACCCACCCTTTTTGGAGTCCCTGGGACAAGTGCTAGATAGTGCTCCATAAGGGGACTCCATTGTCCTGCTGGGGGACTTCAATGCCCAAGTGGGCAATGACAGCATGACCTGGAGGGGTGTGAATGGGAGGAACGGCCTGCCTGATCTGAACTCGAGTGGTGTTTCGTTATTGGACTTCTGTGCGAGCCGCAGTTTTGCCATAACGAACACCATGTTTGAACATAAGGATGCCCATCGGTACACTTGGTACCAGGGCAGCCTAGGTCGCAGGTCGATGATAGACTTTGTAGTCATATCATCTGACCTGCGGCCATATGTTTTGGACACCCGAGTGAAGAGAGGAGCGGAGCTGTCAACTGATCACCACCTGGTGGTGAGTTGGATCAGATGGCAAGGGAACATGCCGCGTAGACCTGGCAGACCTAAACGCATAGTGAGGGTCTGCTGGGAACGCTTGGCAACCCCCGTACCCGCTGGTGGACACCAGAGGTTCGGGGAGCCGTCAGGCTGAAGAAGGAGGCCTACAGGGCGTGGCTGGTCTGTCGGTCTCCGGAGGCAGCAGACGGGTACCAGATAGCCAAGCGGGGTGCAGTAGTGGCAGTTGCCGAGGCAAAATCTCGGGCGTGGGAGGAGTTTGGTGAGGCCATGGAGAAAGAATATCGATCGGCGCCAAAGAGGTTCTGGCAAACTGTCCGGCGCCTCAGGAGAGGAAGGCAGCAACTCGCTCACACTGTTTACAGTGGGGATGGGGAGCTGCTGACGTCAACTGGGGCTATAGTCGGACGGTGGAAGGAGGAGCTCCTCCATCCCTTCTACATGCATTCCGAGGAGGAGCCAGAGCTGGGAGACCTGGGGATGGACTGTCCAATCTGAGGGGCAGAAGTTGCTGAGGTAGTCAAACAACTACACAGCGGCGGAGCCCCGGGGGTGGATGAGATTCGTCCTGGGTATCTCAAGGCTATGGATGTTGTAGGGCTGTCGTGGTTGACACGTCTCTGCAACATTGCATGGTCATCGGGGCCAGTTCCTGTGGAGTGGCAGACCGGGGTGGTGGTCCCCATCTTTAAGAAGGGTGACCTGAGGGTGTGTTCCAACTATAGGGCAATCACACTCCTCAGCCTCCCTGGAAAGGTCTACTCTAGGAGGGTCCGATCGATAGTTGAATCTCAGATAGAGGAGGAGCAATGTGGTTTTCGTCCTGGCCGTGGAACTGTGGACCAGCTCTATACCCTTGCAAGGGTGATGGAGGGGGCATGGGAGTTTGCCCAACCAATCCACATGTGTTTTGTGGATTTGAAGAAGGCTTATGACAGTGTCCCCAGGGGCACCCTGTGGGGGACGCTCTAGGAGTATGGGGTGGGTGGCTTTCTGTTAAGGGCCATTCAGTCCCTTTACCAGAGGAGCGCGAGTTTGGTCCACATAGCCGGTAGTAAGTCGGACCTGTTCCCGGTGAGGGTTGGACTCCGCCAGGGCTGCCCTTTGTCACCGATTCTGTTCATAACCTTTATGGACAGAATTTCTAGGAGCAGCCGTGGTGTGGAGTGTGTCGAGTTTGGTGGCAGGAGAATATCGTCTCTGCTTTTTGCGGATGATGTGGTCCTCCTAGCTTCATCCAGTTCTGACCTTCAGCTCTTGCTGGGTAGGTTCGCGGCCAAGTGTGAAGCGGCTGAGATGAGGATCAGCACCCCCAAATCTGAGACCATGGTTCTCGACCGGGAAAGGGTGGCTTGCCAACTCCGGGTCGGGAGAGGCGTCTGCAGTGATGCGGACGCTGAGCCAATCTGTCGTGATGAAGAGGGAGCTGAGCCAGAATGCCAGGCTCTCGATTTACCGGTCGATCTACGTCCCAATCCTCACCTATGGTCATGAGCTTTGGGTAATTACCGAAAGAACGAGATTGTGGATACAAGCGGCCGAAATGAGTTTCCTCCGTAGGGTGGCCGGGCTCAGCCTTAGAGATAGGGTGAGGAGCTCGGACATTCGGGAGGGACTCGGAGTAGAACCGCTGCTCCTCCGGATCGAAAGGAGTCCGTTGAGGTGGTTTGGGCATCTGGTCAGGATGCCTCCTGGACGCCTCCCTGGGGAGGTGTTTCGGGCATGTCCTGCCGGCAGGAGGCCCCCGGGTTGACCCAGGACACGTTGGAGAGGTTACATCTCCAATCTGGTCCAGGAACGCCTTGGGGTCCTGCCGGAGGGACTGGTGGAGGTGGCTGGGGGAAGGACGGTCTGGAGCTCCCTAGTTGGGATGCTGCCCTCGCGACCCGGACCCAGATAAGCGAAGGAAGATGACGACGGCGGCTCTTTCCAAATACTTTATTTATGCTGCAGCTTCCTTCAGTGCCTGCTTCCAATTAGGATGAGAGAGAGAGAGCGAGAGAGAGAGAGCGAGAGAGAGAGAGCGAGAGAGAGCAAGAGAGAGAGAGAGAGAGAGAGAGAGAGAGAGAGAGAGAGAGAGAGAGAGAGATATTTCAAATCAAAGTAAATGGAACCAGATGGGCCGTATTACCTCAAATTTATCTAAGCACCAATAAGAAACCATGACAAAAACATTATAGTACCTGAAATAGCTTTTAACAAGCCTCCTTCACTATAATACCAAAGGTAATGGACAGTTTACCTTTGCACGTACATAAGCTTCATTATTAATCCATTGGTTTAATTATAGAGCTGCTCCACACTTTGCAGCTGTACCAGTTTAGCTTTTAGGCTTCACATGGGGTTTAGGAGTTTCTAAGGGATTTTTTTTGGCCATTTCTCCAGAAACACATTGGTGAGGTCTGATACTGGTGTCGTATGTCAACACTTGGCTCCCATTCTCAACCCCAATTTCTTCCTAAAGGTGTTCTTTCACTCTGCGTAGCTCTTTACTGGAACACAGCTGCATAGATTTAATGGGTTGTCCCGATTCATTTGGCAACATAGTGTGTTTACAGCATGAGAAAGTAAGACACTACATACAACTCAATAAGCTCAGTGCTGCTAAAACTGTGGAGTTGATCCTGGACTTCTGAGCAAATCCTGTCTAATGATTATGGATCATTATGACATCTAGTCCTCCCTGGAACCATCATCTCCAAGAACAGAGTGGGAGCTAAACATCAGCTGTCTAAAACACTGAGAATAGACCAAAGAAGCTCAACCAAAGTCAATCATGATGCATTTCTATTTTCTATTTATCAACTACCGGTACTTCCATTAATGTGGTTGACTGCTCGATTGAAATTTGGAGTCTTTTCCAAATATCTGGCTGGAACAGAGTATTGTAGGAACGTCTGTTTTTATGGAATGTGTCCGCAAATTTTCTGAACTGCATGAGTAATTTAGTAATCACAGAGAGATGTGCAGTATCTCTGTGTGTATGTGTGTTGTTGCACATCCACCGAGTCAATATTTGACAATGCTGAAGTGTACATATTTAAGAGTGGTGGTGAACGCCTAGAGCTGATAAAGACCATTTTATGCATGAACACATCCTTGTTATACCCCCAAAGTCCCTGATAGTGATTAACATAAAACTCTCTCAGGTGTTGTTTAATCTACAGTATGCTGCTGCAGCCTGATCATGGTCACATGGGTTGGGATGATCTATTGTTACTTTACCAAGCACACACACACACACACACACACACACACACACACACACACACACACACACACACACACACACACACGCACACGCACACGCACACGCACACGCACGCGCACGCACACGCACACGCACACGCACACGCACGCACACACACACACACACACACCTAAAGGCTGTTTAGGATGACATAATCACACAGCATGAATGTTTTTGAACGGAGACACCAAAGTCCCTGAAGAAAACTCACACATGTAAACTCAATATGAAAAGACCACGAGAACGTTCTAAATCTGCCGTTTTTGGTACTGAAGAGACATTTATCCTTCACTAACTCTTAAACCCAGCGAGAGCCTGCAGTGTGCCTCAAATGTTCATGGGCAAGACATTAAGTTTTCTCCCACTGCCCGCATTATGCTCATCGGTTTATGACTAATAATAAATGTTGTAGAGTGAGATTATTTACTAGTAAGCACTGTGTATGTGTATGAATGAGAAACAGTGAAACTGAAAAGTGCTTTCCATATAAGCGGGATATTTGAGCCATTGTGCGTCTCTGTGATAGCTTTAATTCCTTCAAGACTGACGGGGTAAAAGCTAGTCCAAATGCAGACAAGACCTAAATAAATTGATGCTTTCTTTAAAAGAAGCTCCAATCCCCACAAATTTGCTATGTAGTTCATATGATGTTAATTTCTTAAAATTTAAACTGCCTTCAGTTTCACACAGAGTTATTTACCTTAAATCTTCTGGCTATTTAAAGAGAGGCAGTTTTGGCTTTCTTTTAGCACCACCTAGTGTTACTTTGGTAGAACTGAAAGCAAAATATATCTTCTTGCTGTGCGATGGTCTTTTTAACACCTTAAGCCTAATTTATTCTTCGCCATCTGCGTCGGTGCAGAGACACGCAATGGCGCAAGAGTTCTCTGACAGGCTCACAGAGGGTGATGGAGGAGTGCTAAAATTTTTAACTTTGCATCATTAGTGATGGATACCGCAAGGTTGTGATTGGTCAGGACGCTGCTTCCTGTAAATTCGTCAAAAGCACTTTCCCATTAAAAGTAAACACATAATTAACAGCAGACATGGAACAGATCGAAGAATGCCTCATAGAAAAGTCTGAAAATATGAAAGTTTATTCACCCGTGACTGAAGAAGTACAAAGATATGTAGCAAGCGATTTTCTCGTGGATGGAAAAGACGAGAAATGTGAGTTTAGAGGTGCCGATCGCATGATGAGGTAGAGGGAAATGGGGGACAAATTTGTTTGTGTTCAAGTCTCTGAAATACATTAAAACAAGGTAAACACAACAGTAAATACACAGACCGAATACGTGACTGTAATTGTGGCAGGATACCTCAGAATAGTGCTATGCCTTCTGCTATCCTGACATGGCAACAATTCCCAGCTGCTGAAGAAGTTCGAGAGCAAAATGTTTCTGTCAACGATTGTGTGTCTCTCTCTCGCGAAGCTGATGGATAAATATGAATTAGGCTTTGATCTAACAGCTGAAATAACTCCCCAGCCTTCATTAGTGTCTATAGGAGTGACTCATCACTAAATTTAACAAATCAGCTCTTCATGATCTAAAACATGCAGGAAACGTACTGGAAGCAGACCGCAGCTCCAGGTAGGTCAAGTCCATTTCTTAAAATAAGTCCAACAGACCGGTCCGGCAACTCTGAAGTTGCAAGTGGAACATTCTGGCCGCAGGGGAAAATAGGGGCTGGGTGACCTTTCATTAATTCTGTTAAGGGTCATTTTAGCACATACTGGCTCAAGAAAATTATTTAAAAATATGAAAAAGTTGCACAGTGTGTCTTTAAAAGCAGTATCACCACCAGCAGCAACATGTTGTGGTACAATTTGCTGAGCATTGCAGGAATTAACAAATCATTCAAAATAACTTCAATTCAAATCAGACAGTGGTGTAAAAGCTTAAAAAATGGTTTGTTGTAACATTTAAGAGCTGTTTGAAGAAGGCAGCTGTCTTGACTGCTCTATATTAGCTCATCAGTTGGATGTGAACATTATTTCTCCTAACTGAGGTTGTTCAGAAAACTGTAATGTCCTTAAAACGACTGAAATATCTCTTTAAATGTAGCATGGTCTAACTTCAAAAGACTGAACTAAAATGTGTCCATACCATGATGATTTTTCACTTGTAATATGTGTGGATGTTTTTTTTTACTTGGCACTTGCTGGGCTCCTCAGTAGTAAATACAAGAACACTTTAAAAATAACTACAGATGTATGTGAATGGAAACATGCTGCACTAAGAATATTTCAGGATGTTTAAGTCATGTGATGTGTGGGGTAGGAAGAATCAATAAAAACTAAAAATGAGTTTGCTTGTAAACTGTTGAACAAACTTGTTGCACTGATGCTACAAAATAAAAACATTGTAAACCTAAAATGAAAGTGTGGGTTTTAAGCACTGGTTTTAAAGGTGTAGAAACTTCTTTATGATAATGTGTGACACATCGACATATACATCGTGTTCCCTGGTGTTTGCGCGCCCTAGCGCGTATTTCCGGTTTGCCTCTGCACTGCTTTTTGCGCGTCACGTGACTCCAGTCGGCGGGGACGTGCAGGAACTGGGGAGACTTGCATCATCCGAGAGGGACAAACAGCAGCCGGCTGTATCCCACAGACAGGACATGGGCCAGTCCAGATCCGCTGACAAGTCAAACAGCCGTGAACTTTGAAGCCAAGGCGCCTCCTCTTCCTGCAGCTCCGAGTCTTTCAGCTTCTCTTTCTTTCTTTCTTTTTTTTTTTTTTTTAAAGCAGCGAGGTGACTTTGTGGAGGGCTCTAGGGGTGGGCAGCATCTGAACTTCTCCAGAGTGAATGTCCTCTCGGAGCAAAGTGCAAGGTCCCATCAGATCAGATATGGTCCGTGAAGAGCTCTAGCTGCCGCCGATCGCTCTCTCTCTCCTATATGCGCCTTTTTACTGACTTGTTTTTAAAGTTAATAATTAAAAAATTGCACCAAATATGTCGTGCCTTTTATTAGGAGTCATACGGAGGTGAGTAACTGTTTAAAATATATTAATAATTAGAATAATATGTAATAACCTAATGTTATGTGCTGTATTTTAAATCAAAACCACTCTGTGGTTGTTCTCTTCACGACTTAGATCTCCACTGTTTGCATTTTGCTGAGTTGAGTCAGAAACTTGACAGACTTGGTCTTCAGGCCAGGTGACTCTCAGGAAAGTTATATTTAGATGACCCAAAGCAGTTTGTGCTTTTTGTGTCTTTTCCTAATCCCCAACCCTCAGGCTTTGTGATGAGGCCGCATCACACTGGAAAAGTCAAAGTGAGCGTTCTGGTCCAATGTGTGTTTTTCTCACTGATGCATGTCAGGTGTGGTCCTGCATGTGTAGTGGATCCCAGTGGAGTGTTACTAAACATCACAGTGTGTGTGTGTGTGTGTGTGTGTGTGTGTGTGTGTGTGTGTGTGTGTGTGTGTGTGTGTGTGTGTGTGTGTGTGTGTGTGTGTGTGTGTGTGTGTGTGTGTGTGTGTGTGTGTACTCTCTGCACGAGGAGGCTACAGCTCATGGCTAGACTCAAACAGGATCCATCAGGTCGTTGCAGCAGAGGTAGGGTAGACCTGCACAGCTGTGGTGAGTGAGTGAGGACTGGCTTGTGGACTCAGGAGGAGGTGTGTCCTTCATCAGACAAATCCAGCGCTTGTTACATTCTGGTGATGTGAACGTCGTCTCGTATAGCCGTTTCCCCTGAGGAGATAAAACCTGGCAAATTTTGTCAGGCGGCAGCATTCCTAAAGTTTTCAGGCACAGCAGGGGGATGGGATGGCTTCAAGGGAAATTGGGTTAAAGGTCAACAGGGTTTGTTCTGACAAGCCGCTGATGCTCATTTTGTTATCAGGATCAGATGGTAGCTGAACTCTCCGCTCCTGGTGATTAAATTAAAAATGATTCCGGGTCAGCTCCTCTCTTTATTCCTGCCACGCTGACGACAATCTGCTGTCTCGTGACAAATTAGACGGGTGTAATTCATTTACCTCCTGTGGTGAAGCAGACTTGAGAACTGAAGAGGTGTCTTCATCTAGAATGACAGAAGAGACAAACAGCATCTTTGTTCCATTGGTTTCTAGGTCAAAGGTCACCCTGAGAGACTCTGATGATGATTGCTTCAGTCTGAACTCCGCTGAGTGGATGTGGTTAGGAGTAAAAATGAGCAAAATTAACACCTGCGTGAGCCCTCTAAGAACATGCTCACCTGTTCAGGTGGGATGGGGACCACATGCTGGGTTAAACGAATCCCTGCTAGCTTCACACAGCTGTCCGCATGACCCAAACATCACACCTCAGACATTTAGTCCCTATAGAGGATAACAGATTCTGGTGGGTTTCACCTCAGCTGGTCTGAAAGCTTCACATGGCAGCAATCAAATCCAAATCAGAGCAAAGATCCTGACTCTCAGCAGAACGTGTTGATGATTTATGACTCACACAAAACGGTTAATCAATAATCAAGAGTTAGCAGAAGGGAAGTTTGGACCCTGGTGTTAACTGTTCCAGCTCTTTGCCCTCAGCAGATACACACCATCCCCTTTAGTCACTGCGAGTCCTTCACGTCCATGCATCTGTTTGTTCATCTCAACCAGTTTAAGTGTGTATCTGCATGTTCTCAGGAGTGCTTGTGTGGGATGTTCACGCTAGAAAAGCACAGAAACCCAACGAAGACATCCACAGATGGTTCAAAAAATGCAGAGACACTGTTTGTTGTGTGGTTGGGTCATTTTTGTGACTGGCAGGAAGCAAATCTACTCACACACGTGTGTTTTACCAGTAAATATTGCTACAGCCCTCCCACCAGCGTGCGCGTGTGTGAATATGATCCTGCTAGCTAACAAAAGGCAGCCTCCCAGCAGGCCTCTCTTTATACTCAAAAGTCATTATGAGGCTTTCAATTTGGACTCAAAACCAATGATTTTTTTCCCAGAAATAGACAAAAGAATACAATTATCCTGTCTACTGTGTAAATAAGCACGTGTCTACACCTTAAGGCTGTTTATACACTTAGAAATGCTCCATAACTGTCATTAAGAGGATGATTGGTACGAGTTTAGTCTCTGCTGTTTTTACAACGTCACACTAAACTAAGAAAAGATGACTGGTTCATGCGTGGGTATTAAATGTCCTCTAGCCCATTGAGTTTCATCATGTCCACCTTGACTTTCAGGCCGGGCGCGGTTGGGACAAGTGTTGGGGTTCGATCGCTCGCCTCTATCCCCTCATTACCGTCTGCGGTGGCTGACTTTGTGAAGGGAGCAGTGGATGAGTGTAAACCTGCCAACGTCCACGTGGTAACGGGGACTCCGGAGGAAACGGCCAACATCCTGGCCTGTCTGGAGAGGGACGGCATGGTCAAGAAGCTTCCCAAGTATCAGAACTGGTGAGAGCTGAGCAGCTGCACTCCACCATACCTTCATAAAGCAGCTTCTCTGCATCACGCTCTGATTCGTCCTCTGCTCTAGCTGGCTGGCCCGCACAGACCCGAAAGATGTGGCCCGGGTAGAGAGCAAGACTGTGATTGTAACCAAGAACCAGAGAGACACCATCCCTATTCCTGCTGCAGGGGGGAAAAGCCAGCTGGGAAACTGGATGAGCGAGTCCGACTGGCAGAGAGCCAGACAGGAGCGCTTCCCAGGCTGCATGGCAGGTAGGTTCACTAATGACTAGAAAATCTTCTTTTCTCTGTTGTTGCCAGGAGATCACTATGATGACTCACTAACAGCATGCTTCTCTACTAGTCACACGATCTTGCCAGTTTAAGCACTCAGCCCCAATAGCTCTGATGTGTGTTTGATCAGGATGGTACTTTGACCCTGTGATCACACACTCCGCTGATGTTGTTACTGCATAAGGCTGAGAGGAAGAGATCCACCCAGAAACGGTCCAGGATATTTAAAACCTCTGATGATGTTTTCCTGAGACCTGGCTCCATCCTAAACTCGTCTTTATCATTTTATTCCCGTAATGTTTAGGCTGGCTCTCTCAGGTCGTACACACGCTGAAACATTAGGAATGTACTGTTCCAACGAGTGTCAACTTCCACAATCATTTTAAGGGGCTGCCTTCCCATTTGTTCCAGCACCTGGAACAATCGCTCCTTTGCCGTGGTGCTTGTCCTGAAATATGTTACGAGCCATCTACATTTAGCTCTCAAGTCATTTAGCCCATCAACGTCATCACATCGTGATTTTCGGACAATGAGATTAACGGCACGGGCAATGCAAATTGTGTGCCTTATGTTCAGTTTTCTTGCACAGGCAAGCATGTTTGATGCCCCATCTGTAATAAGGCATTTTACTTTGTTAACAATGCCCCACTCCATCATCTTAATATGCCCATCAGCCAAGTTTTCAGCTGTGTGAACCACATAGACTGTACATACGGTGAACCACTGGGAAATGGTGAACACCAAGTAAGGTGGTGTGCAGTGTGTCTTCTTCTATGAAGTGGCAGGTCACTGCAAGGTAGGCATCCATATTAATGGAGGTCCACATGTCAGAAGTAAGACAGCCACCACCTTCTGCAGCTGGACTTTTTCCTTTTCTCTTGCCTCCTTGTATCTTTCCTCACCCATTTCCTTCAGAGTCTAAGGATGAAATAAAAATACAATTAAGATGAAGACTATGCATTAGAAATGAACAGCTTCACTCTGTTGACACCCCTTTCCACTCAGTAGAATGTAGTTGGGATGCACGACTTGCATCAGCTCTCTGAAGCAAACATCCTCCACAATAGAGAATGGATGGGAATCCTTGATTACCATGTTGACCACAGCGTTATCCAGCATTGCTTTTCTGGAATCTAATTAAATAATAGGTAAGGGGTTAGCCTATGAAACCTATATGAATAAAACTACTTTCAATACCTTGGCTGGTAGCTGGTTGGTTGGCAGGACCTGCTGCAGGGCCAGGATGGTCATGTAATGCTCTATAATGGCGAAGCATGCTAGATGTGTTGTTGCTGTAAGTCAGCTCCTTATCGCACACCATGCACTTCACCTTTGATATGAAATAACATTAATATAAAAAGATGTGACAGTATGGGCATCCCGTCACTGACACCTCCAATTTATAACACGCCCTGGCTACCACTCCACAAATATATCCCTTTGGCTGACTGGTTAGTGCGCCTGACTCTCATGCCAGAGATAGTGGGTTCAAACTCCGCCTAGGCCCTCAACTTTCACCATGTCACAATAGGCTTTCACCAGTGCTATATTACTGAAAGGCAAATTTGCTAGCAGGCTAACGATTATTGTTTGTTTGAGTCTTGCTGCCGTTGTGGATATTTTAAATAAGAACACAGCAGCTTTCCGAAACGTTGTAAAATTGAGCCACAAGTTAGTGTTAATGAACACATTCTATTTCCAGTTGCAATTGTATGGGAAAGTCTCACTGCTACAAAGTCAATAGAGAGCTTTTCTGTTTAAGGAAATCTACTTCTGCTAAAGGACAGACTTTCAAACAATCACATCTGTAACAACCAAACATCTGCTAAAACTAGGACCTCAGACAGGCAATTCATAATTTATATATATAAAGAAATGATAATAATTTTTGCTGTGATGCGGAGCTATAAAACAATGCAAGGGTATATCCCACAGTTAATTCACACATTCTTCACCTTATTATGAGGGACCAACTCAAAATATTGCCACACTGGTGAAGACTTCCTTTTTCTTGCAGGCTCCATCTGTAAAAGTTGGATTGTTGGTGTTTAAACCTCGATTCTGTGACTGCAGAATAAAGTGCCCACACCAAGAGTGCATCATTGACAACTCATTCAAACAAACACCCAAATTTTAATCTACTCCCAAGTGTGTCATAAAAGTAACTGGTGAGAGCTGTCTGGTATATATATATATACACACATTTTTGCTTTTGGGCCGGCTGCGCAGTGGTTAGAGCTGGTGCCTTGCAGCAAGAAGGTCTTGGGTTCGCTTCCCAGCCTGGGATCTTTCTGCATGGAGTTTGCATGTTCTCCCTGTGCATGCGTGGGTTCTCTCCGGGTACTCCGGCTTCCTCCCACAGTCCAAAAACATGACTGTTAGGTTGATTGGTCTGTCTATATTGTCCTTAGGTGTGAGTGTGTGTTTATGATTGTTTGTCCTGTGTGTCTCTGTGTTGCCCTGTGATGGACTGGCTCTCTGTCCAGGGTGCACCCCGCCTCCAGACTGCTGGAGATATGCACCAGTCTCTCAGTTAATACAAAGTGTTATCTAAGTCCCTGCATTAAAAAGACCCAATCTTCTGATTTAAATAACCCAGTGTCCGTAATGAAAACCAACCTAGTCTAGTCTAGTATGAAATCCGATGCACCAGCTTGTGAGCTGTGGGGCCTCAGGGAGTGAATGTTGCTATATTTGCAGCAAATATTAAAGACAATCTTATCTACATATTTAAGCATGTACACACACATATTCAGCTTTAATGTGTGTATTCTGTCTCCAGGTCGGACCATGTATGTGATCCCCTTCAGTATGGGGCCTGTAGGCTCCACGCTGAGTAAATATGGTGTACAGGTACCAGCTATTCTTTCACTCCTGCAGAAGCAGCATGAGTCCTGCATTAAACAAACATTCTGTGCAGCTGTGAATTATTTCTATAGTTATGATTTATTGATTATGAGTACTCTGTGCCTCCCAGGTGACGGACTCTCCGTATGTTGTGGCCAGTATGGGCATCATGACCCGTATGGGCTCGCCTGTTCTACAGAAGCTGTCTGAGGGGGAGGAGTTTGTTCGCTGTCAGCACTCTGTGGGACAGCCGTTCCCTCTCAAAGGTACAGGTCACCTCATCCTGGATGGATTTAAGAGGATTTGTTTAACTTTTGTTCTTTCATCCCTCTGCAGCTCCTCTGGTCAACTCCTGGCCCTGCAACCCTGAGAAGGTCCTGATATCTCACCTGCCGGACACCAGGCAGATTTTGTCCTTCGGCAGCGGTTATGGAGGAAACTCTCTCCTCGGGAAGAAGTGCTTTGCCCTCAGAATTGCCTCTCGAATCGCCAAAGATGAAGGCTGGCTGGCTGAGCACATGTTGGTGAGGAACTGATTAAACAAATAAATCACCTGCTGATGGGACAATCCTCCCCTAACTTAACCCTTTCCTATCCTCAGATACTGGGAATCACCAACCCTCAGGGTGTAAAGCGTTACGTAGCGGCAGCTTTCCCCAGCGCCTGCGGTAAAACTAACCTGGCCATGATGAAACCGTCTCTACCCGGCTGGAAGGTGGAGTGTGTGGGTGACGACATCGCCTGGATGAAGTTTGACAGCCAAGGTGAGTAAAAACGCTCATGAACACTCTGACCTTGCTGCAGTGGTTTACTAAAGCGAGTCTCTCTGCAGGTAAACTCCGGGCCATCAACCCAGAGAATGGGTTCTTCGGCGTGGCGCCAGGCACCTCGGACAAAACCAACCCCTACGCCATGGCCACCATCTCTAAAAACACAGTGTTCACTAATGTTGGTGAGACGAGCGATGGGGGAGTGTGGTGGGAGGGTCTGGACCCCCCTGGTGCCGGGGTTACGCTCACAGACTGGCATGGCAAAGCCTGGAAGCCAGGTGATCTGATAGGAACAACAGCGCCATCTGGTGGCTGATAACGCCATCATTTACTGAGACATTAAAAACTGAGACGATGAGATGTTTCCTGTTGTACACAGGAAGTTCAACACCTTGTGCCCACCCAAACTCACGCTTCTGTGCCCCGGCGGCTCAGTGTCCCATCATCGACCCCCACTGGGAGAGCGAGGAGGGCGTTCCCATTGACGCCATCATCTTTGGAGGCAGGAGGCCTGAAGGTTGGTGCTTCTCTCACACTAAAGACAGGTTGCTGTTTTTTTAGGAGACTCTGGGTGTGATTTACTCAGAAAGTAAAAACATTTTCATCAGAGTTCTGTAAACATGACGCAATGATGTTTTTCTAGGAGTCCCTCTGGTTTATGAGTCCTTCAACTGGCAGCACGGAGTTTTTGTTGGAGCAGCAATGAGATCTGAGGCCACGGCAGCTGCTGAGCATAAAGGTATACACACACACACACACACACACACACACACACACACACACACACACACACACACACACACACACACACACACACACATACACACACACACACACACACACACACACACACACACACACACACACACACACACACACACACACACACACACACACACACACACACACACACTAGTGGTGTGCATCTCTACCTGCCTCACGATTCGATCCGATTCCGATTATCTGCCTAAAGATTCGATTTGAGTCTGAAATGCATCACGATTCTTCACACAAAAATTTTCATTACTTAATAAAAGCAGTAGAATAGTTTTCAATTTCTTTTTGATTTCGAAATCCCTGAAAAACAGAACATTCATCTATTCACTATAGTGAGCAATAATGTTTAAAGTGTGCTGCCTATAATTACTTAAATAATATAAGAAATAATGTTTTTGGTAGAGCAGCTTTAAGATAGAATATTACTGAACTTAAAAATAGTAAACAAACACTGTGTTAAGTGATTCTTTCACATCCAGGATCCCAAAACCGAAAATAGCCCAGACATCCGATTTAAATGTAACGGGTACATCTTTGATTACTGGTCATGTTGGCCCTGTATCCCTGTCCGCCTTTTCTGTTTTAAATTGGCGCTAGGGCAACGCAGTGCGCATGTCATTGCAACTCTGCCCCCAGAAGTAATACCTCAAAATTTTATTGTCCTCGCATAGACACAAACCAGGGGTCGGCAACCTGTTCCCATCAAAGAGCCATTATTACCCGTTTCCCACAGTAAAGAAAACACTGGGAGCTGCAGCACTGTGGGCGGGGCCTACCCTCAGATAGCAGAGAGCTGCTTTAACCAATCACAACAGGTGACAGCAGCCAGTACCGGTCGCTCGTGTACGTCAAAGTTATCTTTCATAAGACGATAATCAATAAAACGATTTATATAAAGTGGATCCAGAAGTTGTAGCCCGTCTCTGCCTTCAATATTTTGATATTTTTCACCCTGTTGGTGGTTTTACTGAGCAGGTGCCACTTGTGTCATATGTTTCTTTTTAAAACATGTTTAGACTGTTCAGAATACAAATCCAGGCTCTGTCACGTTTGATTGTTGTAATTAAACTTTGTAGGTGGGGAAGGTCAGAAAAGGATCCGATCAATTTGTTTTTCCCTCATTTACAGCGACGGAGATAACGGCGCAGTGTGCCTGGCTCTGGTGTTAATCAAGTTTAATTTTATCTCTTTGCAACAATTTTCACAAGAAAACAGAACAGTTAAAAGCAGGGCTTGTGTTGACCGGATCGTTCCCATATTTGACCGTTTATTTTGACGGAGAAAGAATAGAAAGAATTACCCCGACGCATGCAGACAAACTGACATTTTATTCTACGCACATCGCAGATGTAGCTAAATCACACAAGAAAAGATTCCCATCTGAACATCTGAGCTGGACACTGCTCAGCGCAGCTCACTGTCAGTGCTCAGCGCAGCTCACTGTCAGCGTGTACTACATAAGGTGCACAGCGAGCTGAAGATGTGGAGAGGGGCTTGGAGCGCGTTGCAGAACCAGAACGCATGCAGGAAGATTCCTCCGACTGAATCAAGCGTTTTCCAAACCCTGTCTCTCAGAGAGACTTGTCACTTAGAAAATATTCCCTGATTATGAAACTTTGGCTGAATAGTGCTTGTTCCTGTCTCCAATGTGGCGACACATCCAGGAGCCGTCTGAGGAGAATCCCAGAATCTCACATCCTCTTCAGCTCAGAAAGCGCTGATATGATTACGCACAAGCGTGACCCGTCAACCCGGTCTCACAGTAAGACCGGGTTGGACCTGCTCAGGTTTACGCAGACAATCTTTACATTTAGAATTGACATACAGATGTAAAATTAATGCAGTAAAATATAAAGCATTTTATTTAAATATCCATTCATTATTTTACAAGCACAGAGAGCCGCATCAGATGGATGGAAGAGCCGCGGGTTGCCGACCCCCGACATAGACATAGGGAGAGAATCTCATTATGTCACATTGCTGCATCGATGCGGAATCATGCACGGCTGAATCGCGATGCATCTTAGAATCGATCATTTTTCCCACCTCCAACACACACACACACACACACACACACACGATTTGTGTAATTTTTCCTCCAGGTAAGGTGATCATGCATGACCCCTTCGCCATGCGGCCGTTCTTCGGCTACAACTTCGGCGACTATCTCGCTCACTGGCTGAGCATGCAGAAGAGAAAAGCCCCCACCCACCTTCCCAGGATCTTCCACGTCAACTGGTTCAGAAAGGACCCCTCATCCGGGGCCTTCCTCTGGCCCGGCTTTGGCGAAAACTCCCGCGTGCTGGAGTGGATCTTCAAGCGCTGCGGGAGAGAGAGGGAGGACGAGGCGGCCAAGAAGAGCATCATCGGCTGGGTGCCGGAGGACGGAGCCATCAACACCAACGGTCTGGGCGGCAGCGTCAACATGGGGGCGCTGTTCGACGTGCCCAAACCGTTCTGGCAGAAGGAGGTCAAGGAGCTGAGAGCCTACTTCACTCAGCAGGTTGGAGCTGATCTGCCTGCTCAGGTGGAGGCGGAGCTTAAGGCTCTGGAAGACAGGGTCCACAAGTAAACAGCTGATGAGGGGAAGGGAGGAAACGGGATCAGAGCTACCGACTGGGTTTATATACACAAAGAATTCTTCCTGACTTACATCATTTATCAATCAGTCTGTGAATTTCTTTGTGTGTGAAAACACATTCAGGGGTTCCTGTTCGTATGAAGATACATCTAAAGCTACACATCGGACATCAGATCACACTAAAGCTGTAGAAACGAGGTTTGAACCAACAGGAAGCATAGATTTCTAAGGGGAAGGCTACAACTGCTACCTCCATCCTCACACAGTCAGTCTGACCCTTTAGTGCCTTAGAGATGTCTGACCACCCTGTGTCTGCTTGTGTTTACGGGCTGAAAAACCAAAGAGAACTTCGATTACTGCAGCAGGAACATTTTTACTCAATAAAAACCTTTTAAAAACTATTATTTCATTAAGATTTGACCAAACTTTTATCGGGAAAGCGCTGACCGTTTGTTTTTGGGGCCAGAGACGACTTAGCGTCAGTCCCTTCTGTAGCGGTTGTGATGAAACTCGTGATTTCTGCTGATGTGTACACACGACACGGGAATGGCCGGACCAACCCAGATTATCAGGGGTTATAAAAGCTTTTATCTCGGAGCAATGGAGAAATGTCTTCAGGTGTGGAAACATTAACTCGTATGTTTTTATTGTGACTTGAATAAAAGGTGGTCAGTGTCTTCTCAGACTAATGACTCTTTTTTTTTTAAAACATTTGCAGTTGAACTCAACACACTTTTGTGATCCAAACAGTGATAATTTAGATTATTTGTTAAACTACTTTTACGTACCTACTTTATACTTTTCTAAATCAAGTCGTCAAAAAATTGTTCCCCATAACCCCACACCATGATGCTCCCACCGCCATGTTGCACCCACTGTGCTTTTTTCTTCAGGAATCTCTACAGACTTCTGTCTGAATCTGCCCCCATTTAGTCCCATCTTCTGCATCCTCCACCCACACACCAAATAACTTGATGCCCTCTCACCACATTTATAAAACTCCTTTTTAATCTTCCTCTCAGTATCCTGCCTTGTGGATCCAACCTCAGCATCCTTCTACTCATGCAACCATTGTCTCCCCTCTGGACTCTGGACGTGTCCAAACCATCTCAAGCCTGTCCTCTCTGACTTTATCTCCTAAAAATCTAACATGAGCTGTCCTTCTAATGAACTCATTCCTGATCCTATCCATCCACATCACTCCCAAAGTGAACCTCAACATCTTGAGCGCTACCATCTCCAGTTCAGCGTCCCGTCTTCTACTCATGGACACTGTCTCTAAACATGACACCACTGCTGGTCTCTTCTACACCTGAAACCTTTTTTTTTTATCACACATCACATGTGACGCATTTCTCCACCCATTCCAGTCTCTTTTCCTCCAGGTAAGGCTGCTTTAGACCTTCTTCACTTCTACTTCCTGTAACATCGCCGATCCACTTGTGTCCCTCTAAACTCCACACATGTATTCTGTTTTTATTCCTCTCTTTTTTGGTACATCTCCACCTCTTTAGCTTTTTCTCTACCTGCACCCTGCTCTCACTGCAGATCACGTCGTCTACAGACATCATGAAGACTCCCGTCTAACATCGTCTGTTAGCCTGCCTATCACGAAAACTAAAAAGAAGGGGCTTAGAGTTAATTCCTGGTGTGTGACAGACAGACATAAAAGTAGAACAAAAGATACAAGCAGAACATGACCCATTTATGTTATTCCACCTTGTTAGTATTCTTTCATAATGTCATTCATTGTTGAGCCAGATGCACCATGTGGCCTGTAGGGTGTGCACCACTTGCATCCATTGTTTTTACCCGCTTAGGCAAAGTCACGGAGACACAGCAACCAAGCACACACACTCACACCTAAGAACAACTAACAGAGACCAATCAACATAATCAAGCATAATATTTTTAGATCGTGTGAGGAAGCCGGAGTACCCGGAGAGAACCCACGCATGCACAGAGAACATGCAAACTCCATGCAGAAAGCATCCCCATATAGGGATTTGAACCCAGGATCTTGCTGCAAGGCACCACTGTGCAGTCCCTGCACCACTTCCACCTCAAACACCTTGAGCTGAGAGTGAAACAGTGAGAGGTACCTGGCTGCAGACCTCCACCATCAGGATTATTATTTATAAGTCGATGGTCAGGACGACTGCCACTGTCAGGACGGGAAATGCACGGGATACATTACAAAATAAAACGGCAAACGTACTTACGCCTGTAATTGATAGATTTTACGTAATATTTTATACTGAAACCTATCAATTATTTCTCTGTAGTTCATATGTAGTTGTCATTTAACATACTTACGGTTGTAATCAGAGGCGGTTTTACCATTAGGCATAGGTAGGCGGCCGCCTGGGGCCCCCTTGTGTTGGGGGGCCCCCCTAGCCCTGATCGCCGGCACCCCTCTGTTAATGCCACAATATTCTTATTACCAACCTGTCGCCGCAGACGGGATTGGACATGCGCACTTCTCATTACCATAATTCCTGAACCGTTCAAGATATCATTAAAATTCTAAAAGTGCTGAAAAGATTAAAAATGGGGCTTTTCGTGCATATACAATACATTACGGTAGCCACCGGGATTCCCTGTCTTGAGCGCAACGAATCACAACACAGATTCAGAGATGTGCTGAGTTTGTCATCCAAAATGCTCCGTTTTATAACTTTTGAATGGCTGATCAGATTCAAATAATTCCAACGGTTCGTAAAAGTACATAAAAGCAGCTTTCCAACGATCTATAGCATGAAGCAATCAGAGTTAGGGGAAATATCGCTACGAGGGGAAATCCTGCTGTACAGCCTGATTGAAATGAAGCGCAGCGCCGCGGTGAAAGCGGATCACGGAACGGGGAAGCTAATCAGCATAAAAACCAGCATGAAATTATGGAAATGCCTCAAAGAAAATCAACACGATCTATTAGGTGTCCCAGAAGGCTTATATCTGAAGTCAGTGACCACGAAGAATGACAGATCTCCGGTGAACCAGGGTATGAATGTTTGTTCAGTCTTTATTTTTTTATTTGAACAACCCTCAACTATTTGCTAATTGTAAGATTCAGCATCATTCCAGCATTATTCATCTTTTTACCATAAATAATTATTTTTGCTAGAACTAAAGTTTTTGGTATAGCAGCGCATGGTGTGCCAGAGAAGCACCCCATGGCAGTGTGAGGTGTGCAGCACTCTGCCTGCAGCTGGAGAGAAACTGCTTCAAGGTCTACCACATCAAATAAAAACGTCTGAAAGTTTACAAAATTAAATGGTCCTAAAAACTGCTAAAAATACCAAGGTTCACACTTTTTTAAGAATAGATGCATTACAGTTAAAAGTTTAAATTGTTTGCCCAGTAATTTTGAAATTCCTGTTCAGTAATAAATGTAAAAAATTCAAATCCGTTTTTTGCTTTTTTTTCACGTTTAAGCTGATTTTTTAAAGGCTTTAATGGAAATAAATTCTAAATACAAACCATACACTGAAAGCTGAGAAAAAAGGAGAGAGTTACACACACTTTGCGCTTTTTATTACAATTTTACAGCCATAAGATTAAAAAAACACCAGGCGGCCCTGTTATAATTATGGTCATAAGAGGGTTATTAAGATGGCGATGCACAAACTGGAAGTGACTGGTAGTCATTCCACTCCAATCCAATTGGTGCGGTAATGCACCAAATGGTTGTTTGCCAAGTGCCATAAGACCACAAATAAGAAGAAGAAAAGAGGCAGGGGCATCCGTAACAAACCCAAAGCGATAGTCAAAACATTAAGCATGAAATGGAGTTATCCTAGTGGCTCCAATAAGAGAAAGAAGCAGCTTGCTTCATAAAAGCTTTTATTTTCACTTCTGAAAGTGACGTCGTTTTTCGATGTAAACATCAAAAGGAAGCAGAAAGGAAAGACAATGGAAAATGTTTCAAGGGAGGAAAACATAGACCAAAATGGAAAATAGAAAAAAAAATAACTAAGGCTAAAGCACAGGAGCGCTGACAGGAAGAAGAAAGCAGAGCAAATATTGAAAGCACTCAAAGGGAGAGAAAAACAGGAAAAAAGAGGAGGACTAATAAGAAGGGAAAATAACTCATGTCAGAAGAGGGGAGAGTTTCGCAAATCCAGTTAAAGGTCAGATTGTCGAAAATTTAGTGTAAGGGGCCCCATGTCTGTGTTCGCCTTGGGCCCCCAAATTGCTAAATCCGCCCCTGGTTGTAATTTTTCAAAATGATTTAACGAGTGGCCGGGATAGGTTTCAACCATGGTTTCAACATAAAACGCTAACATAACATCATATTTCTAAATAAAATCCCAAATGCTGTTTTGGTTGAATCGCTCTCCTCAGAAACGCATTCATTTTTTTAATATTATGTCTTAGATTATGACAGAATATATCATAATGACCACGCTGTGCAACAGTAAAGGAAAACACACATTGTGTGGTGTAGACTCCTCTGCAGTCTCCGCTCTCCCTTGAACTCAGTCCTAAAGCACACTTCATCATTCTCTCACAGCTCTCATACATGTTCTGCACTTCTCAAACATTCTTCACAGGCACGCCAGACCTCATTATTCAACTCAACTCCTTTCTGCACCAGGTCACCTCTAAATCTACAAAAACACAATGCAGCTCCACCTGAGCCTCTGTGTATTTCTCTATCAGAATCCTTAAAGCAAAAACTACAGCTGTAGTACTCCTTTTTTTTAATAAAACTGTTTTTCTGCTCACAAACACTCACTTCTGACCAAAACTTAGCTTCCATCACTGTTTACCAAAACTTCATTGAATGACAGTTTATTCCACTGTAGTTGCCACAATTCTAATTACGTCTCTCTTGTCCTGAAAAATCAGCACCACACTTTTCTTTAATTCTTCAGGCATCTTCTCACTCGTCAGATCTCTTTGAACCTAGTCAAAAACTCTGCCACCACCTTGGCACTTCCATACCTCCATGTATACGTCATCAAGACCAACTGCTTACGCTCTGTTACCTCTTGCTTCACCATACGCTGCAGCTCCCTATACTCCTGTCTATGTCCTCTCAGTGTTTAGCTTCTCTGTACATGCTCATGGACTTTTTATTCCACCACCAAATCTCCTTACTTATTTTACTTTAGGCAGCTGCAACTGTCCAGTCATCTGGGAGCACCTCCTGGTTGCCAAGTCTCAGACTCCTCCCTGAAAACATCACAACATTCTTATCTCGGCTCTGATCACCTGGTCCTCTGCTCTGCCTTTGTTCTTTACATCTTCCTCAGCATCACTTTCATGCTACACCCTCACCAACTTACTGAGAAGTTCAGTCATCACAGACAGGCTTGGAGATCTGTTGCTACTCCACATCAAGAGGACCCTTACCCTAACCCTCACTTTGTAAAGCCCCTTCCACAACCTTACTGGACGCCCATGGTGGTGGACATTACAAGCAACAAGTGCAAGCAAAACAATGTAAAACAGCCATAAAAACAAAACCTAATAAAAGGCCACATTACACGCAGGACAATGAAACCACACTACATCTGCTGCTGGAATGCCACGACATAAACATTTGTCTTCAATTGTAACTTCAAAACCAGCAGAGACGGTGTCTGGTGCACGGTTAAAGGGAATTCATTCCACATTTCCATCAGATCAGTCGTCTCTAAAGCTGCTCCGTCTCTGGCTGAGATCCAACTTTTAGACGAT